TGCGCCTCAGTCTCGTGCGGCTTGGGGAGCCCGACAACGCCGGGTCCGGGGAGCCGCCCGCCACGCCCGCGGGGCTCGGCGCCGGGGGAGACCGCGTCTGCTTCAACTTGGGCCGCGAGCTTTATTTCTACCCGGGCTGCTGCCGCCGCGGGAGCCAACGGGTGAGCGGCTCGCATCGTGGGGCCCTGGGTATTTAGAGACTAGGGGTTCCCGAGTTAATATGGATTTCGGAGGTGGACGCCCTAGAGGTGATGGACGTCCTGGGTGGATAGGATTCTTGGAGGTGATGCAGGATTCTTAGCGGTGATGGGAGGCGCCGGGGGTGCTGGCAGGCTGGAGATGATGGATAATCTTCAGGTGATGTTGGGGGCCCCTGGGTTATGCGTGGGGCTTCCAGGGTGGTGAATTTCTGGAAATGATGGTGGGCATGGGATGAAGTGGGCTCCCCGCAGTTCTGGGGTGCAGGCATTCTGCAAGTGGTGGGAATCTTGAGACGACGCCAGCTCAGAGGTCCGGAGGTGATGTGGGACTTGGGGAGCCTGGAGGTGAGGAAAATTCTGGAAGTGATAGGGGAGGCTTAACGGTAATAGGGACCTGGAAAGTGAATGGAATCCTAAAGGAAATTGGGGGGTTCAGGACGTAATGAGGGTCCTGAAGGAAAGGAGACTTTTCCAAGCTGAGGTGATGAGGGCCTGTTAGGGGGATGCCTCAGGTGTGCTGGACATCTCTGAAGTCATAGAGGTCCCAGAGGGGAGGTGCAGTTGAAGGGGAAGTTCCCAGAAGGACAGGGATTCCCAAGCTGGTGAGGCCAGAGGTGATAAACCAAAACCAACCAAACTAGTTGCTGTCAGTCAATCCGGACTCACAGCGCCCCTAGAGGGCAAGGTGGAACTGCCCCATAGGATTTCCAAGGCTGTAATCAAACTACCAGGAGCCCTGGTAGTGTAGTGCCTAAGGCACTTGACTGCTAACCAGAAGGCTGGAGGTTCAAACCCACCAGCCGCTCCTCGGAAGGAAGATGGGGCAGTCCACTTCGTAGTGATACCGCCTTGGAAACCCAAGGAGGGGTCGCTATGAGGCGGGTCCGACTCCACGGCACATAACAGCAACAACAAATCAAACTTCCACATCTTTCCCCCCAGGAATGATTGATGGGTTAGAACTGCCCATCTTTCTGTTAGCAGCTGAGCACTTAACCATTGTGCCACCAGGGCTCCCTAGAGATGATAATGGTTCCTCAGACTGGAAGGATGTTGTTGTTAGGTGCTGTGGAGTCGGATCCCACTCATAGTGACCGGACGTACGACAGAACGAAACACTGCCTGGTCCTGCGCGGGCCTCACAGTCCTTGCTACCTGAGCCCATCGTGGCAGCCACTGTGTCAGTCCATCTTGTTGAGGGCCTTCGCCTTTTTTGTTGACCCTCCACTTGACCAATATGATACCTTTCAATTGGAGCTATAGGATTAATGGATCCCTCAGCTGTGACGGGGCGGGGGAAGGGCTGTCCTGAGGATTAGGGACTCAAAGGTGAAGGGGATCCTGGGCTGCTGGGTTTTAGAGTCCTGGTTGACCCTGAGGTTTTGGGGGCTTGGAATATTGTGGTGCTAGGGCCCAAGGGAAAGAGCTCTGATGGCGTAGTGGATAAGGTATTTGGATGCTAACTGGACAGGCAGTGGTTCAAGCCCACCAGCCACTTCTGCAGAAGGAAGATGGGGCAATATACTTACGTAAAGATTCACAGCTTCAGAAAGTCAGTGGGGGGTCGCTGTGAGTCAGAATTGCATCAATGGCAGCAGGGTTTTGGGGATTTTGTGGGGGTGGGGTCGGAAGGAAATAGGAGCCCAGAGACCTTGCCCCTTATGCTGTGGGTTGCAGGGGGCCTAGCTTTGGGGAGGCACTGGGGCTGCATGGGGAGGGTCCTTTGTTTGTTTTTTTTTAACTTCTACTCTGTGATTTGGGTTCCCCTTCCTGTCTGTGGTTACCCCCAGTCTCCCCCAGCCATCACCCTTGGGTTTCGCCCCACTCCTCTCTGTGGTTTCCCAGCCTCAACACCCAGTTCCTTCCTCTCGGTGCTTTAAGCTGTTAACCCCTTTTCTCCCATCACTCAAGTCTATCGACCTCAACAAGCCAATTGACAAGCGGATCTATAAAGGCACCCAGCCCACCTGCCATGACTTCAACCAGTTCACAGCTGCCACAGAGACCATCTCCCTGCTGGTGGGCTTCTCGGCGGGCCAGGTGCAGTACCTGGACCTCATCAAGAAGGGCACCAGCAAGCTGTTCAACGAGGAGGTGATCGTGGGGCCCAGAGCCCAAAGCTGCTTCACTGCTTCCCCTTCCCACTGTCCCCTGCATGCCTGTGTGCACGTGTGTGTGCCCGTGCATTTATGTGCGCACACACGCTCCCTCTGTATGCCGTGGCACTGCATCCGTCTGGGAGGGGCAGGAGGAAGGGAGATGGGGAATGGACTGACAGGCACAAGAGGTAGGGTGACAGCAGCTAGTGTGGCGACAGCCAACAATGATGACAGCCTTGCTGACTGTGTGCGGGCCCTGTGCCAGCGTTGTCGTGAACCCGGCAAGGACCTGGGATGCCCATCTGGCGGATGGGAGAACTGAGCCTGGTCAGCGACTGGTACTTGCGTGATTTCAGAGCCTGTGCTCTTCACAGTCTGTGCACCGTGGGCTTTGGATTCACATCCATGCTGCACCATTTACTCACTGTGGCTCTTTGGGGAAGGGACTGCTGCTCTCAGCCTCAGTTTCCCTCCTCTGCAGAATGGTGACTGTCCTCCTTGCCTCACTGGCCTGTTGCTGGAAACCCATATGTGCCGCGTGCTCGGGCTGGGCAGCAAGGTCAGGGTGTGATCTTACCACTGGGCTCCGTGGTAGGGACTGGGCTCGGCCTTGATCTGTTTCCCTCTGGTCCAGAGGAGGTGTTCTAGAAATATCCTCAGAATGAGTGAACCGCCGAAGGGAGTCAGTGACCGTAGGTGCGTCAGCTCACCC